TGTTGGATCAAGAGTTCTAACTGGAGTTATAATAATATATAAGCAAGCTTCAAATGTCCATTGCCCTCAAGTCAACTCCTAGAGACCCTATAGAATAGAATTGAACCCATAGGATTTGTTTCCAAGAGTGTCAGTTTTTACAGAAGCAGACTGCCACATCATTCCCTCATGGAGTGGCTAGTGGGTTTGAACTACCAACCTTTTGGTTGAACAGCCCCGTGCTTAATCACTGTGGAACCATGGCACCTGAGTTTCAAATGGGCACATTTCCATTACTTATCCTTCAATCACATCATATTCTACATGGAAATGAATTCAAAGCAACAGGCAACCAAATTTTTCACTCTTTAAAAATTTAAATTTTTGAAGAGTGAAAAATTACAAAGCGTACAATTGTTTGATACATAGCGATGTTAAGGAGCCTAGTGGTGCAACAATGAAGGGCTTGGCTGCCAACTGAAAGGTCAGCAGTTCAAATCTACCCAGGAATTACATGAGAGAATGATCTAGCAAGCTGCCCCCCTAGATATCATAGCCCAGAAAAGCCAACAGGACCTTTCTATCCTGATCTATGAATCAGAATGGATGTGAAGGCACCCAATACCAAATACAATTTTTAGTTCAGACCTGAAATTATTACTAAATCTAGAGAGGCTTTTAAATTGAAGTATAGTCATATACTTCAATTTTTGGCACCTTTAAAAATAAAACTAAATCAGGAAGTATAACACATTGCATTCCTTCGTAAAACCAAGCAAACCCATTGCTTGGTCAAGCTGATTCCAACTCCTAGCAACCCTATGAGACAGAGTTGGCCGAAGTGCTCTGTAGAATTACCAGGACTATGAATCTGCAGAAACAGAAAGCCTCCTGTTCTTCTGTGGAGCAGCTGGGGAGTTGAAACCACCAACTTGTCCATTAGCAGTGCAATGCTTACTCAATGCTTAGCCCACTAGCCTGCCAGGGCACCTTCGCAGTGCAACATACACCTGTTGAGGCCATTCCAACTCACGAGACCCCGTGTGTGTCAGGGTAGCATCGTGCACCTAGAGATCTTTCAATCACTGTCATCAGAAGGAAGAATATAGCCAGTCCTTTCTTCCTAGGTACTTTTAGATAGATTTGAGCCTCCCACCTTTCATTTAAGAACCAAGCATGTTAACCATTTATGTCTAACCCACGTATCTGCCAGAACTCTCTTTGTTTGTGCTTTTTTTAAATCATTTTATTAGGGGCTTATACAGCTCTTATCACAATCCATGCATACATCAATTGTGTCAAGCACATTTGTACATTCATTGCCCTCATCATTCTTAAAACATTTGCTCTCCACCTAAGCCCCT